CTTGAAGCCTGAAGCTTGAAGCCTGAAGCTTGAAGCCTGAAGCCTGACGCTGCTGAAGAGAGACGAGTTCAGGCCTGCAGGTAGAAACGGAAAAAAGACGCTGGGAGACAGACAGAGACGGGGGGACGAGTTGAACAGGTGAGACAGAACGGCCTGTTCTCCAGGCGGAGGTGAAGGGTTCACATCACGTGAGTGTGTGTGTGTGTGTGTGTGTGTGTCCTCAGGGAGGTTGACCATGTCCAGCTGGAAGGAGACCCCGGGGCAGACCCAGGACTGAAGAGACTACGTCTTTGGGCTGGCCTGGGAACATCTTGGAGTCCAGAGGAGCTGGACTGTGTGGACATTCCTGCTCCAGATGTTGCCCCCGAGACCAGACTCCACAACCAGATGTTGGTCCTCTGGTTCCACCTTCTTCACGCGCTGACCCGCTTCAGCCACAGAACTGGTTTCTGTTAGAATTTGGACTGAGTTTAGTTCTGGTTCTCCTGTCAGAGGGGCCTCGTGGTTCTTTAGAACCCTGGAAACTAAAACAACGGAGTCGTTTTAGTTGAGCTCTCCTCATCTTGAGCTCGTCGTCTTTAAACTTTAGTCGAGCGCTGAAAGAGTTAAAAACTGTCGACGGTACGAAAGAACTAAAACGAGTTCTGGGAGAATCTTTAGCCGAGCGGACCCGTTAACGATAATAAAGATGGCCGACACGTCTCCTCCTCCACCAGATGTTTGAAGCTGAACTGGGTTTGTTTTCATGTTGACATTTTGGAGCCGGAGTCTCTGCACGACGTAGGCGGTACCTTTGATACAAAAGCTCCGCCCACTCACTGACAGGCGCATCACACTTTTCTTTAAACCTTAATTAAATAAAAACTAAATATATTTTAAAATGCAGCAACGTGAGAGGTGTCAGCAAAAATCAGCACCTGCAAAAAGTTGCCATTAGCTGTTTCTTTTTTTGTTTGCTTTAAATGAAAAACACGTCCCATTCATTTAGATGGAGGGGGCGGAGCTTAACGGTTGTACCTGAACGAGCCACCGGGGGGCGATCACCGTCGGAGGCTTCGTTATAAAAACATGCGTGAACACATCGCCACCTGGTGGCCCGGGGAGAAATTATTTTACTTTATTTGGCGGAACTTTTTAAAAGTCAAAGTCGCCAGAAACCTCAGCGCTCAGATTATTAGTTACGACTAATCTCAGCTACAACGAGATTACACCTGACTCAGGGATTGTGAGTTTTCAGTTGGCTGTGGCGGCCATCTTGAATTGGGTTGTCGTACATCCGATGTTTACTTCGTGAAATGTTCGTTAACGTTTGTCCAGTGGTTCTTGAGATATTTTGCTGACAGACAGACAGAGTTGACTCTGGTGGTTTTAATTATTGGGAGCACTCTCAGCTACTACCACACCAAATCCTCGGCCCCTAAAAGGTAAATCAGCTGTAGAGGCGCATCCAGTCATTTAGTCTGGGGGTGCAGAGATATTTTGCTAACAGACAAGACTTGCTTTATTATTCAAACCAGCTGCAGAACTTCAGGATCAGAAACCATCCTGCGTCTTACACGCGCAGCAGCACGCACGCACGCAGTCAGGGCGCGCGCGCGCGGCTCCACCCCTCCGTGCGCGCGGCGGAGGGAGGATCATGTCGCTGCGTGTTCCTGCCGGAGGTCGAGCCTCGTAGAGCCGGAGCGGAGAGAGAGAGAGCTGCTCGGTGTGCGTGTGCGGGTCCGGAGCTGCGCGCGGACCCTCCTCTGATGGATCCCTGATCCGGTCCACCAGTCCGGTCTCAGCTCCTTCCTGCGGTTCGCTCCGGTTCGGCCGCCACCATGGGGTTCTACGGCACCCTGAAGCTCATCTTCTACAAGGTGAGTATCGATTATTGATCGATCTGTGCGCGCGGGAACTGAAGGTTGTCTGATGCGTGCTCAGCCGGGATGACGAGGCGTTTCTCATTCGCGTGCGCGCGTGTGTGTTCGTGCGTGTGTGTGGACCACTGCGGAACC